GGAGAAAACAACAAGAAAGTTGCTGTTTTCTACAGGAAATCAGCCCAAAACGTATGAAAACAGTAGAAAATCGTAGGAAAACTGAGAGAAAAACGTTCAATGGACTTATATTCCACTAGTAAATGATCAAAGCAAAAGCAAGATACAATGTTCTTCGATTCGAGAGGAAGAACAACTCTCCGATCTTCTCCGGCAACGCCAAGAGCCCAAGCAAGAAAACCCTAGATCTCAAATTACATTCAAATTCAAGATGATCCTAATTTCCCCCCATCCCCCTAATTAAAGCAAAAGGAACGATACAAATTACATAAACACCCTCCTCATTCAAAAATTCCCTCCAACGAAACGCTCCAAAACCCCCTAGCCCGCCTCTTCTTCCGCCGATTCTGCGAACGGGTTCCGCCCGGCTTTGGACCGCCGGGCGTAGAACCGGACCGGTCCAGCTGGGACCGGTCCAAGCGTAACAGGCAACCTAAAGGATTTGCTCAGAAATACTGCAAATTTTATTAATATTAAAGAATTTGTGTAATAAGCAAAGCACCTCACAAAAAAATTGTGACAACCCGCCCACCAGGTCCAGACAAAAATCACATTAACCCGGCAGGATGAAGTGAGTTAAAAGAAATTGTACTTATAATATCCTCATCTATTTCGACATCACTTTGAACAATAGACTTGAGATATCTAAAACATGTACTCATATAAATGACTTGATCTCCCAAAGTCACAATTCCTCTACCATATCTATTACTAATAAAATTACACTCAATGTATTTTGTTTTAGATCTAATCAAATGAAAACCTTTAGACTCTTAGGTTGGCCTCCATAATTTAAGTTCCCTTCAACTCCCTCTCTAATCTTATTAGCAAGAAAATATCATCAGCAAAAAGCATACATCAGGGTACCTCCTCATGCAAATGCCTGATAAGAACAATCACGACTAAAGCAAAAAAGAAATGGGCTTAAAGTTGATCCTTGATGTAATCCAACTGAAATAAGGAGCGAACTATTTAAAATGATTTTATCCCTAAAAGAATAATGTGTGCTTGAGTACATGCAAGTAATCTAAAGCTATGAATCAAGAAGGAAGTTTCCAGGGCTTTGTTTCAGAGAAACAAATTCTAGCTAGTGAAGAAAAAAGATTATATATTTAATGATACAACTTCTTTTACTGTCAATATTCATGAGTAAAAATACAAATGTAATTTATAATATGATCAAAGATTGTAATAAGTGGATCTCCTACCCTTAGTGTTATCATTTCATTTACATTATGTCATTTTATAAATTTTCTCTCTTCTAAGATACTGTAAAAGTGGAACACCTCTATAGGCTTCCAAAGCAAAAAATACACTAACCTTTCTAGATAACTAAGGCACAGCTGCTTCATTATTGCCCACAATGAAAGCATAATTATACTACACTATTGACAACCAAGATAGCTCTCAGTTGTCGCCTTGAAGCATCCTGCAACATACAAACTCATGTGGATAGCTCCCATGAAATAGGTTTGGTGATCTCTTCAAATCAAGTCACTTCAGGGAGATTACAACAACAAAAACAACATCAAGCCTTTCTCCCACTATGTGGGGTCGGCTACATGAACATTTTTTCTCCATTATGACTTGTTAAGAGTCAAATTATTATTTAAATCTAATAAAGAAAGATTATTTCTAATAATCTCTAACCAAGTCTTTTTAGATCTACCTCTAACTTTCTTAATATAAGTCAAATCTAATACATCCACTTTTCTAACTGGATCATAGGAAGGTCGTGATTTTATATGACCAAACCATCTAAGGCA